TGTGTAATGCTATAGTTATTTTCTCAACCCAAGCGGGCCCGTCGACTATTGTTCCATGGACGATGACTAAAAGCGCATTAACGGGTGGGAAGATTTCCATCAAGCGGAGAGTGTAGAGATGAAAGTTTCTGTAAAGTGAAGCAAGTCTTTTATTGGAAAGTGTAGGGTATCCTGGATGTTCTGTAGTCATTAGTGGTTCTCGAATATAAACGGGTTGTTAAAAAACAAGTCAACCCAGTTGATGTTTTCGTAGGGAACTTTGAATATATTCTGATGTTTTTTTCAAAGTTTCCCCGCCAAAAGGTCAACTGGGCAAACCGTGTTTTTTTGACAACCTGGTTATTTATGAGAACCGCTAACGTATAATGTTGAAGGAGTTATATTGTTTGGCTTTGATATTCCTCTTCTTGATAACATTTTGATGTCTAGATTTCTAATACATGATCCCTGGGCATCTTATAAATGCTTACAGACACATGTTTCACATCTGGTGTAATTTAAACTTGATGTTTCCTCAATCATAATCATCAATATTGATCATTATCAATGTTTTAAATCTTTGTGGGGCTCTTGAAACTGACCAGAGGTGTCATTATGATTTTTCTCTGATCTTTTATTTAATTTGATAGTATGGGAGCTGAGGACACAATTTTGTAATGAGTACTCATAGCTGACAATATATGTCACACAATCTAATGGCTTAGCTGCTCACTACAGTCAGCCAGTTTTGCCTGCAACATTGGCCATCCTATCATGGGACTCCCAGAGGCCTATTTCTTGATCAGTGGGCCACACCCACCAACTTGTTGGAGTCCAATTGACAGAAAAAAAGAAGAGAGGACCATCATCATTGCAGTGCACAGGAACAGACAATAGCTCATGCACATCCAGAAGGATGTATAAGAAAGAGAGGTCTGAGAACAGTACCAGAGAACTGGTCACTAAATACAACAACACTTCTTGCCTAAACCAATACTAGCGAGCCCAAGTATAAGTAGCCAGTTACCCCAACACATACTTCTCTTTCCTCATCTTTGGAAAGAGAAGCACATACCATCAATCCTTTTTCCTCCCTTGTCCTTTTCTACTTTTCTACTTTCTCTCTATCTCTTTCACTTTCATCTCCTTTTCTTATCTCATATGTTGAACAAAAATCCAAAGAAGCCCCACTCTGACCCACACACAGACATTCCTTAGGTCTCACTTCATAACCCTTTGTTTGCTTTCTCAACAACTTGCTGAATTCATGCACCAGGTCAGCACTTTTTCATAGAAAGCAGAGAGGACCAAGTTGTATCGCTCACAGGGAACCACCTCATAACCAGGTTTATGCACCAGTGTTCCAATCCTACTTGGACATTTTCAGTTACTACATATGTAATACTTAAATTACACATGTGATACATGTTACACTGTGTTTCTATGTATGTGCATGTCTGGGTTCAGGCTGTGGGACTGTTACACAGTCTTCAGGACTGACATTTCAATGGTAACACTACTTATTACATATGTAGTACATATGTTACACTATATTTCTACATGCATACATTACTTATTACACATGTAATACATATATTACTTCTACAAACTTGTATTCACTGCTTAGTGAAAACTGTAAGTGTCTGAAAACA